TTCTTTTTCTTCTTTTTCTTTTTTTCTTCTATTCTATTATTTTTGGTTTTGACTCTGAAACCAAACTAAAAAGTCAGAAACATCACATATTCATTAATACAAACTCATGCTTCAATTACCAATCTTATTATCTTTTATGATTTCCATTTGAATAGGAAATGCATTGGTTATTATTTCAATGAATGTAATAAGGTATTGTGGTTGCACATCTGTTGTAATATAAGAATTGATATTGATTAATATGAAACTAGAAATGTATAAATAATATTATCAAATGAAAATGATATTTGATGTGATTATTACTAAATGAATTTAGATATAATACTTTAGTGATATTAGTATGTTCATTCATCATAAAATAAGAAAATTAAAAATTAAGTTCTTTTAAATTAAAATGAAAACCAAAGAAAGACAAAAAGAAGAATGAAAAGACGATAGTAGAAAAGAAATAAAAGAAAAGAAAATGTTTTATTCACAAGTCAAGAAGAAATTCTAAATAATAAGTGAATTATTAGAAATTACTTTTTTAACGATGTATTATGTAGTTAAAATCCATTGGTAACGAATAAATGACAATTCTATTGACGCTTAATTATATGATTTTTATTTTTTATTTTGAATATTATATAATGAAGACTTATTATGTTTATTATTTTTTATTTCATTTCTTAATATTCTTCGATAAATATAATTCTATTATTGTTTTTATTCTATTTTCTATGATTTTCTTCTTTTCAAAAGAAGCTGACCAATTAATAAATGAAATTAATAATAGATGGATAATTTCAGGAATTAGAATGCAGAATCTGCAAGATGATATGAATATTTCAATGTGTATGCACCTCTATCTCCAAAATAAAATAATAGGAGATAAATTTGATGAAATAAAAGAAATCCTAAAGAAAATAAATAGACTAGAAGATTTGGTCAAGGGAAGGAAATGGTACAGAATAAAGTGCATCATGAAATTAAATGAACATGATGAAGAAGGAATAAAAGTTAAAGCACTAGAAAGAATAAAGTACCTAAAATATATAAAATATATGATAAAAGAAAGAATTAAATTTAATAAAAATGAAATAATCAGAATCAATACAAATAAAATCATGTTTGATTCTAACAAGAAAATTAAAATAAAGAAGAAACAAATAATGAAATATACCCAAATAACGATATTACTTTAGAATAATGGAAATCATTATATGAAACACAGGTGATATTAAATAAAGAGAAATGGAAAATAAAACAAATCACCTTGTGGAATGAAAGATATATCAATTATGATAATGTCATTATAACATTAAATGAATTAAATTTAAGTTTAAAGAGAATAAGTAACTGGAAAGCACCAGGAATAGACACTATATATGTGTATTATTGGAAAAGGATGTCATCATCAAGAGAAATCATTCTCAATATCTTTAATGAATGGTTGAACTTCCCTGAAAACATCAAATTAGACATGGTAAGTGGAAGAACTTTATTAATCCACAAAGTGATAGGAACGACGTCACTAATTATCGTCCTATCAGTTGTACAAATGTAATTATGAAAGTATTTACCTCATTATTAAAAGAAAAGATTAACAGAAGACTTAACATGAATAATGAATCATTGAAAATCAGTAGTAATCAACTGGGATGTAAGTTACAATCTTTAGCTGATAAAGAATGAATAATAAATAGTTATATGTTAAAGCAGCAGAAAGAAGAAAAATACCCAAAATATGATGAATCATATTATGACATTAAGAAATCATATGACACAGTAAACCACAAATGGATAATTGAATCATTAAAATATTTTAATTATGAGTTTGTCATCATTGACATTATTGAAAGTATGATGACTAGATGGAAGATATTCATCGGTTATAAATTTAATGAATATCTATGATATATTAAATTAAATAGATGAATTTTACAAGGTGATTCCTTATCAAATCTACTCTTCATCATACAGATGAATGTAATTTCTCAAATCATCGAAGAGAAATTCCCAAAATCAAATCACACATTATATATGGATGATTTGAGAATAATGACAGAAAATAATGAAGAAATGGGAATAATCAATAAAAAATTATTGACAAATACATCAAAAAAGTGGAAGTGTCATCAAATTAGTGGATATTTTAGAAGATGGA